GAACAGCCCCGATTGCAATGGCACCTTATCGAATGGCTCCGAAAGAATTGCAAGAGTTAAAGAATCAATTACAAGAGTTGCTAGAGAAGGGATTTATCCGACCAAGTGTATCGCCTTGGGGAGCTCCGGTGTTATTTGTTAAGAAGAAGGATGGATCAATGCGTCTTTGCATTGACTATCGACAGCTCAATAAGGTGACCATTAAGAACAAGTATCCCCTTCCGCGCATTGATGATTTGTTTGATCAACTAAAAGGAGCTTCGGTATTTTCAAAAATCGATCTACGTTCGGGTTATCATCAATTGAAGATCCAGGAGAAAGATATTCCGAAGACAGCTTTAAGAACGAGATATGGTCATTATGAATTCATCGTAATGCCATTCGGAGTAACGAATGCACCTGCTGCTTTCATGGATCTTATGAACAGAATTTTTCAGCCCTACTTGGACCAGTTTGTTGTTGTCTTTATTGATGACATACTGGTGTACTCGAAATCCCCTGAAGAGCATAGCACACATCTGAGGATCGTCTTGCAAATTTTAAGAGATAAAAAGTTGTATGCCAAATTGTCCAAATGTGAGTTCTGGTTAGAGGAAGTAATTTTCCTGGGGCATGTGATCTCGGCAGTTGGGATTAGAGTAGACCCTCAGAAAGTTAAAGCTATAATGGATTGGGAAGTTCCTAAGAATGTGTCTGAAGTTCGGAGTTTTCTTGGACTTGCCGGTTACTATCGAAGATTCGTTAAGAATTTTTCGATGATTGTGCTGCCTCTAACAAAGCTAATGAGAAAGAATGTAACATTTGTTTGGACTTCTGGATGTCAAGAAAGCTTCGAAGTTTTGAAGAGAATTCTGACGGAAACTCCGATATTGGTTCAACCGGAATCTGGCAAGAATTTTGTAGTATACAGTGACGCATCCCATAACGGGTTGGGGTGTGTACTAATGCAAGAAGGAAAAGTAGTAGCGTACGCATCGAGACAGTTGAAACCACATGAAAGGAATTACCCCACTCATGATCTAGAAATGGCTGCTGTAGTATTCGCTCTCAGGATTTGGCGTCATTATCTTTATGGGGAGCGTTGTTACTTATATACGGATCATAAGAGCCTGAAGTACCTGATGACTCAAAAAGAATTGAATTTGAGGCAACGTAGATGGGTAGAGTTCTTAAAGGATTACGATGTGATAATTGACTATCATCCCGGAAAGGCTAATGTGGTAGCAGATGCTCTGAGTAGAAAGACGTTTGCAGCTTTACGAGCTATGGATGCAAGATTATCTTTAACGGGAGACGGTGGTCTTTGTGCAGAATTAACCCTTAGACCAACATGGTTGGAACGAATAGGAGAATTGTAAGGTAAAGATGGAATGTGTTTGAAAAGAATGGAGCAAGTAAAGAACAAAGAGATTAAAGACTTTGAGATTAAGTCAGATGGAAATCTATATTGTAAAGGAAGAATTGTAATACCCGACAATGAAGACTTGAAGAAAGAAATATTAACAGAGGCTCATTACAGTCCGTTAACGATGCACCCGGGTGGAACCAAGATGTATATGGATTTGAAGAATCGATTTTGGTGGTCAGGGATGAAGCGAAGCATCACAGAATTTGTGTCTAAGTGTTTGATATGTCAACAAGTCAAAGCCGAGCATCAAGTTCCATCAGGATTATTGCAACCGCTTTTCATTCCTCAATGGAAGTGGGAAAATGTTACGATGGATTTTGTTTCGGGGTTACCCTTGACTCCGAACAAAAGAGAATCAATCTGGGTAATTGTTGATCGATTAACTAAGTCAGCGCATTTTCTCCCTGTTAGAACGGATTTCTCTATGGAGAAGTATGCAGAGCTGTATATTAGAGAAGTTATTAGATTGCATGGAGTACATGTTTCCATAGTCTCTGATCGAGACCCTCGATTCACTTCTAGATTCTGGAAATCTTTGCATGGAGCGTTGGGGACTCGTTTAAACTTTAGTACGTCTTTTCATCCTCAGACTGATGGGCAATCAGAGAGAACTATTCAGATATTGGAAGATATGTTGAGAGCATGCGTAATGGAATTTAAAGGATCATGGGAAAAGTATTTACCGCTGGCAGAGTTCGCTTACAACAATAGTTATCAGTCTAGTATAAAGATGGCCCCATATGAAGCATTATATGGAAGAAAATGTCGTACTCCATTAAATTGGTATGAACTCAAAGACCGAAGTGTTCTTGGTCCGGATTTAATTCAAGATGTAGAACAGAAAGTTCGAGAAATTCAGCATAACCTCAAAGTGGCCTCTGATCGGCAAAAGTCCTATTCGGATCTTAAAAGGAAAGAAATTGAATTTCAAGTTGGAGATAAGGTGTTTTTAAAAGTGTCTCCATGGAAGAAGGTGTTGAGATTTGGTCGGAAAGGAAAATTGAGTCCTCGGTTTATTGGACCATATGAGATTGTAAAGAGAGTAGGACCTGTAGCATATCAGCTAACTTTACCACCTGAGATGGAAAAGATACATGATGTTTTTCACGTTTCAATGCTTCGAAGATATAGATCTGACCCTTCTCATATCGTGACACCAGAAGAGATTGAGGTTCGTCCTGACTTGACTTATGAGGAAGAACCGATTCAAATTTTAGCACATGAAGTTAAGCAATTGAGGAACAAGACCATTCCTTTGGTCAAAGTGTTGTGGAGAAATCACAAAGTAGAAGAAGCAACATGGGAGCGTGAAGAAGATATGCGACATCAATACCCTCATTTGTTTGTGCAATGAAAATTCGAGGACGAATTTTCTTAAGGGGGAGAGATTTGTAACATCCTCCATGTCGGGTGAGTGATTGATTTGCAAAGTTTCAACATTTGGGGATTAAAGTAGGATGATTATATAGTTTAAAAATAAAGGTTAGTAAATATGAAATGAAGGTAGGGACCAAATGGTCATTTGGAAGGAAATTTTTTATTAAAATAAAATGTTATGGGATATATGAGACCCACGTGTGGCATAGGTTCCAGAACTCTCCCATTTCTTCTTCCTTCTTCCTTATTTTCTTCTCTTCCTTCTCTCAACGTGGGGCTTGCAATTAAGGTAAGAAACTGAACTTGGTAGTTTCTTGGATTGTTAAGATTGGAAATGAAAGTTGGTATGTTATATAAGATAAAGGAAACCTTATATGACATTAAAACAACAAGATAAGTGATTTAGAGAATGATTTGGAAAATGAGTTTTTAGATGAAATCTTGATAGGAATGAGTTTTTGATGTTTGAATCAGATTTTTGACTTGTCAGTAAGCTAATTAAGAAGTATGAAGTAATAGAATGGAAATTAGAACAAGTTGAAATTGGAGTAAGATTCTTCAATTCTATATGGATGAGGAGTTTTCTTAGTTTTAGAGGTATTGAATGGTTAATAATTAGTTTAAGTAAGTGTATGAGAGCTAAGAGTGTTAAAGGGATTGAAATAAGTATGTTTGAGCTGAAATTAGATGATTTCCGGGCTCAAAATAGGATTTCTGGGTTAGGGGAATCGGTACCCATTCAAGGGGAACCGATACCCCTTCAACGAATATGATTTCCAGAATGCTAGAGGGGAATCGGTACCCCCAGGGGGAACCGATACCCCCTCATCGTATAAGAAATTCCAGAAGGCTATAGGGGAACCGATACCCCAGGGGGGGAACCGATTCCCCCATGAGAAAAAGAAGAAGAAAGAAAAGAAAACATGACTAAACTATAGATTCTTTAAATTAGTAAGCTATTAAAGCTTAATTTCAAGACATAGACATCTGATGATCATCTTAAAAATTATGTTTATGTAGATACCGAGCCTACTCGAGTTCGGGAACAATCTACAAGTAGAATCGATCGAGGAAAAGACAAAGAAGTATAGGTGAGTGCATATGCATAGCATGAATATAGTAGTATATTCAGTTCTGGACTTGTGATAAGTCTAGATTCCATATTTTGACATATGATTACATTCCATATTATGATACATGACATGAAATTGTATTAAATGTATTACATGACATGAATTATATTATATGTATTACATGACATGAATATGCAGAAAAGTTATATGCACTATGTGATAAAGGTATGTAAATGATATGCCTATGTGTTAAAGGTATGGAAATACTATGTCTACGCGATATGAACTACGGGAAATGTATAAGCCCATGTTATGTAGATGAGAACTATAGGTATAGTTGGCATGCCAAGGGTAGAGGGTATACTCGGTTCTTTAGGACACATATATATCCTTTGGAACCTGTGTGAAGTCTTGAAAGACACATACTTGATCCATAGTATATGTATATGATTCTTAAGGAATTCTACGTGGTCCTTATGGACAAAATTCTACGGGCACTTCGGTGCAATTCTACGGGCACTTCGGTGCATTTATACGAGCTGTGGTGACAGCATAGTGCACAACCTCACATTACTCAAATACCTTAGGTTCTCAATATGCTATCATGGGCCAATAAATTTATTAATACAGAATAATGAATGTTACAGTCATACGCTTACAGGTATGGATATTGATGAAGTATACTATATTGATTAAGTACATGTTTGCATCTCATATCATATGATCCTGACATTTTGATTACATTACATTGCCTTATTATTATTGCCTCACTAAGTCGATGACTTAGCGTGTGAGTGTTTCACACGTAGGATCCGATGAAATTAGACGAGACAGGTGAAGCAGCTTTACAGAATTACTCCTGCAACCATCAGATCAGAAGCAACTTATCAGTAGGTCATTTTGTTATGTAATAGCAGTTGGCATGTAATTAAAGGGTTAAGTTGTGTATGCTCTGAATATTTTTGTAAACTCATATTACAGTATGTATATTATTGTATTTTCTTAATACAAGTTCAAATATTTTACTATTATTTATTAAGAGTTGTGTTTTAAAGTCAATGTAGTATCTCTGGCTCATATCCGGGTCGGGTATGGGTTGGGGGTGTTACAGATTATATGTTATGTTTTTAGATTATGTTATGCTAAGCTAAAGTATTTAAACGATGACTGGAAGAAATGGATAAACTAAACTGACCTGGTGGAGCATAACCAATAGTTCCTCTTAACCCAAGAGAGCTTGACTGATTAGTAGAATAGTTAAGCAAATCTTCAGCAAGGAATTTTTCCAAGCCAAAGTCACTTAGATGACCAACCATTGCCTCATCGAGTAGAATATTGCTTGGCTTGAGGCCGCAATGAATAATTGGTGTTTCACAATGGTGGTGCAGATATTCAAGTGCATGAGCAACATCGATGGCCACATTAACTCTTTGGAAGAAGTTTAAGTTTCTCATCATCTCCGGTTCATTGATAGCAGTAGATGGATGCAGCCAATTCTCCAAGCTTCCATTTTCCATGAACTCATAAACCAACGCTTTAAAATCATTACCTTGGTAATCGACACCTGAAATGGCTGTTAATACCTTGACAAGATTCCGATGCCGAATGTTCTTCAAGGCACATTCAACCATGAAACTCCTAGAAGCTCTCTGATTCAGAAGATTAAGCACCTTTATTGCAATAGTTTCTCCACTCTCTTCAAGAATTCCCTTGTACACAGAACCAAAGCTTCCAGATCCAAGAAAATTCTGCATGGAGAATCCATCAGTGGCCTTTAGGATCATTTGGTACGATAACTGCAGAAGTGAATTCTCAACACAAGTTGTTGTTGGTTGCTCTTTCTTCTTTCTAAACCACAAGACGAGGAGAGAAGTGAAAACCAAAGTCACTCCAAAAACCACAACAACAATTGCAATTTTCAAGGAAGTGTTTGATGATGTTTTCGAGTTACATCTAGACAAGTGTAACTCAGGGATTCCTCCACAAAGCTTATTGTTTCCCTCAACGAACGTAGCGCTTGCATTCTTAAAGACTCCTTCAGTTGGTATCGCTCCCTCAAAATCATTAAAAAAGAGATTTAAATACTTTAACGACTTAAACGTCACTAGAAATTCTGGAACCCCACCTGAAAGATTATTGTCGGACATGTCCAATCTTACAAGACCTCTCAATGAACTAAAAGATGAAGGGATGGGCCCTTCAAACGAATTCCCATCCAACAACAGCTTCTCTAGACCTACACAGCTGCCAAGATTGTTTGGAAGAAAACCAGATAACCTGTTCCTGGAAACATCCAATTCACCTAGTTTTTCTAGATTTTCTATTTCAAGAGGGAGCTCACCAGTCAAATAGTTTGATGATAAGTCTAGTGCAATGGACATGGATGATAGTCCAAGTACTTGAGGAGGAATGGTTCCACTAAGATTATTATCAGAAAGATCCATTACCAGCAAATTTTGGCACTTACCTAGACTTGAAGGAATGCTGCCCTGAAGAGTGTTAAGCTCTAAAGCAAGTAAGGTTAACAATGTTAAATTTCCAATAGAATGTGGAATAGTCCAGAGAGAAAATTACTATCAACATAAAATATGTTTAGCTTATGAAGCTTGCCAATATTGAAAGGAATATGACCTGATAGATGATTTTCTGATACCCTTAGCGACTCCAAATTGATGAGATTTTCTATCCCATCCGGGATTCTTCCCCACATTTTGTTATCTTCCATTACTAATTGTAAGACGGCACTGGAAAAATTACTAATGCATTTGGGAAATACCCCTCCAAAATTATTTATGCTTATATCTAGAGATTCTAGTTTGGTATCATTCACTAAAGTGCAGAGAAAGTTCAAGTCACCTTCTCTCCCATGTCCCAACTGGTTTGTGAATACGGTTAGTATCCGTAGTTTATCCAGTTTTTCCAATGACGGCACATTTCCATTGAGTCTGTTACCATCCAATTCAAGTACATTCAGATTTGAGGCATTGGAAACTGAAATTGGGATTTGTCCAGAGAGTTGGTTATCTGATACAGAGAAGTACTCAAGATATGTCATAGTGATTGCTAAGTTAGACTGAAGTGTACCTCGAATCTTGTTTCCACCAATATCGATGACTCTGATATTAGAGAGATTGAACATTGCAGTTGGAACAATGCCAGAAATTGCATTTTCAAATATGGTGAAAATTGAAAGATTTTTCAGCTGCCCCCAAGCTTCTGGTATGATCACAGTTAATCCATTAAAAGAAAAAATAATTTCCTCCAGAGATGACAAGTTCCCCAAGGAAGGTGGGATATTCCCTGTCAACTGTTGTTGAAAAGGTTCAAGACTTTCAGATTTGACAAGAAACTCAGTGAAGCAGGTATTTCTCCTGTTAGCTGGTTGCCTCTCATACGAACAACTATAAGCTTAGAACAAGCAGATAAATTGGAAGGAATTTCACCACTGATGGAGTTATTGGTGAGGTCTAATGTTTTCAGTCTTCTTAATCGACCGATTTCTCGAGGAATCTGGTCATAGAAGCCGTTGCCAACAAGATTCAACTTCCTAAGAAAGCTCAGGTTTCCAATGTACGGTGATAATGATCCTGAGAATTTGAGGAATTGCAGTTCCAACTTGGTGACTCTCCGATGCTTGCGACCGCATGTAACACCGTGCCACTGACAGAAGTGAATAGAACTATTCCATGAGTCCATAACCTTGAGCTGATCAAGAGTTATCTTGCCTTTGAACTGGAGTAAAGCTTGTTGATCAGTCTCGTTTCCTCTGGCTAAAGGGATTGCTGTTGCTAAACCAAGACTCTGCAAGTTGAAGCATGAGAGAATAATTAAAACTTGAATGGAAACAAGGGACAAAGTGGTGGAACTTCTTGATAGCTCCATCAACTTGAATCAATTTCTTAACTGATGAGATTGATTTGTGTTTGAGAGTGGTTGGTTCATCAAAAAGAACTAAAGTATAAGTAGTTTCTGAACTCTGATATCACCCAATTCTATCTCCATTCAATTGGTTCAAGTTTTCCCCCTTCCAAAGTCATGTGGCTACGAGTTCCATGGGACCCTGCTCGAGTTAGATGAGTCTATACGGGGTTGTTTTTTATGGTCAATATCCCCCCATAACTCGGTAATGTCCACAACTTCCTATCAGAAAACATTAATTTCTAGTATGATAATGGGAGACTTCTCAAGTAAACGCTGCATTGAAAATTATCGTTTAAACTGGAATATGCATACAATATTGATCTCTGCTGTCAGCGACCCAGAGATGTAGAGTTGCCAGACTTGACTGATTCTAATAGAGAAAATAGTCAGTTGCTGTCATCTTCAACATCAGCTTTCCTATGACTATAGTGACGCCTAATTTTAAAATTTCGCTCTCCAAACATAAAATTATGTGTCCGTTCTACCGTTACAACAACTGTGATATACCAACAAGGTGAACTACCCTCAACCACCATCCCTAAATTTATCCATCAACAAAATACAGTTGGCAATAATATTTGCATTTATATATGCTTATATGTTTTTCGTTTGTTTCATTTAAATTTTTTACATAAATTTGTGCATGTTGTATTTATATTATTTTCCGTATAATGTTGTGTTTTGTATAGTTATTCATAATATTTAAACTTAGGTAATAGTTTTATTGTTAATATCACATTGTGTTTAATTTACAATATATTTTACATTATTCATTATCATGTGTTATGTTTTCATTTTCTCAAGTAAAATATTATAAATTTATATATTTTTACAAGTTAACAATTCTTCTTACATGGATTTTAATAGTTATGATTATTTCATTTTCATAATACCATAATATGACATGTTATAATTAATTTAAATATTTAGTGTTATGATTCAATTCGCTTCATAAGTTGTATAGTTTTATTATAATAATTTAGTCAAATGGAATTCGGGTCATAATCTCTAACGAATTTATGTTTTATAAAGATGACAGACAAGCGCTATATAATTAGATATATTCTCAAAGAGGAGTTTTCTGCAAATATCAGATGCGATGTGAATAAAAGAGAATAACTGCACTTTGCATGACCAAAGCCTTTTAAGTCCATTGATATTATGGCACCTTAGGTTCCTGCAACATATGGAAACAAGGAAACCTATAAGCCATCAAATTTACATGTACTGAATGTAACCAAAATATATTTTACTCGTTCAAATCATTAGAATGAAGAATACCTGCTGATTTATCAGCACCTAAAGTTTGGCACTCATGACGGAAGAAGCTTGTCTCTAATAGAACACAGCTTGGAAACAACATCACTCATGTCGATCCGCTCAGTAGGTGATTCAGCAGAACAAGCGAGTCCTGTTTTGAATATAGAATTCAAGTGTTTAAGATGTCTGTTATTGAGAGTGACATCTGCAAGTGTGCCTTGAATAGCTCTCTCTTGAAGAAGAATGGGATCTGTAATCTCGTTCACTCGATTAGGAAAAACTTCCACAATAAAGTTGTGAATGTTGAAACCTTCTTTGAACATATCATGAATCGATTTTTTCCTCGTAAACATCTCTAGCAATAGAATTTCATAGCTGTACACATCACCTTTTGTTGACAACTTGCCTCCCATGGCATATTCTACAATTAATTTATTACAAATTAAAGAGTAACATTTGAAAAACTGCTTCCAGATTATATGTTTTGTTCTTAGATTATGTTATGCTAAGATAAAAGTATGTAAAGAATGATTATAAAAATGGAAAAGATGAATAAAGTGAACTGACCTGGTGGAGCATAACCAATGGTTTCTCTTAACCCAAAGGAGTTTGACTGGTTAGTAGAACAGTTAAACATGTTTGCAGAAACGATTTTTGCCAAGCCAAAGTCACTTAGATGTCCAAACATTTCCTCATCGAGTAGAATATTGCTTGGCTTGAGGTCACAATGAATGATTTGTGTTTCGCAACAATGGTGCAAATATTCGAGTGCATGAGCAACATCTATGGCCACACTAACCCTTTGGAAGAAGTTTGGGGTTCCCATCGTCTCTGGTTCATTCAAACCAGTAGATGGATGCAACCAGTCCTCCAAGCTTCCATTTACCATGAACTCATAAACCAAGGCTTTAAAATCATTGCCTTTATAATCAACACCTGAAATGGCTGTTAATTCCTTGACAAAATTTTGTCGTCGAATGTTCTTGAAGGCCTCACATTCAGCCAAGAAACTCCTCGAAGCTCCACGGTTCTGAAGATTAAGCACTTTTACAGCAATAACTTCTCCACTCTCATTAAGAATCCCTTTGTATACAGAACAAAAAATTCCTGAACCAACCAAATTTTGCATTGAGAATCCATCGGTAGCCCTTAGAATGCTTTGGTATGATAACTGTAAAAGTGAATTTTCAGCACAAGTTTCTATTGGCTGTTGTTCTTTCTTCTTTCCGAACCACATGATTAGAAGAATCAACAATATCAAAGTCACTCCTAAAATAGCAACAACAATTGCAATTCTCCGTCGGAGACGAGTGTTCGATGATGTTTTCAAATTACATCTGAACAAGTTTAACTCAGTGATGCCTCCGCAAAGCTTATTGTTCCCTTCAAGAAATGTAGCGCTTGCATTCTTAAAGACTCCATTTAGTATCACTCCTTCAAAATCATTGAAAGAGAGGTTTAAATACTTTAACGCCCTGAAGTTTACATGAAATTCAGGAATCTCACCGGAATGATTATTGTCAGATATATCCAATGCCTCAAGACCTCTCAATGAACTCAAAGATGATGGAATGGGCCCTTCAAAAAAAATTCCATTCAAGAATAGCTCCTCTAGGTTTTTCTAACGAAGGCACGTTTCCACTGAATTTGTTCTCTTGAAATTGAAGTGCATTGAGATTTGAGGCATTGGATATTGAAATTGGGATTTGTACATACATTTGCCTTTGGGCGGCGTTTGGTTGGATGAAATCCCTTAAAATGGATAGGAATTGGAATTTAATTTCACCACTTTCCTATGTTTGGTTCAAGTTTTTCAAGGGAACCCTCACATGAGGGAAAGTGAATTTCATCTAAAATTGGATGAAATTCAATTCCCTTGTTGGAGGGAATTGAAATTTGACCATAATATCTTCATCAATTCTTTGGTAACTTATTCATATATTGAATAAAAATATTTTTTTATTATTTCGGGTCGGGTTTCTAATTCATATATTCGGGTCAGGTCAAGTCGGGTGAAACTTTATTTTGGTCGGGTCGGATCGGGTTTTTTTAAGTGTGATATTCGGGTCGGGTCGGGTTCGGGTTTAGGGTAAAAAAAACCGGACCGACCCGAAAATATATATAATTCGGGTCGGGTCAGATTAAGTCACTACTTTTATTAAATACAAATAATTTTTTTATTATTTCGGGTCGGATTTCTGATTCATATATTCAGGTCGGATGAAACTTTATTTTGTTCGGGTCGGGTCGAGTTTTTTAAGTGTGATATTCGGGTCGGATCGGGTCGGGTTTGAGTTTAGGGTAAAAAAACTGGACCGACCCAAAAATATATATAATTCGGGTCGGGTCGGATTAAGTCACTGTTTTTATTCAATAAAAATAATTTTTATTATTTCGAGTCGGTCGGATTTCTAATTCATATATTCGGGTCGGGTCGGATGAAATTTTATTTTGTTCGGGTCGGATTTTTTTAGGTGTGATATTCGGGTCAGGTCGGGTCGGGTTCGGGTTTAGGGTGAAAAAAACCGGACCGACCCGAAAAATATATATATAATTTTACCTTATATATTTATGAATAATTACAATAATACCCCTCTATATATAATTTTTTTCAATTAAGTTAATGTTTTTATTGAATAAAATAATTTTTTTATTATTTTGAGTCGTGTCGGGTCGAGTTTATAATTCATATATTGAATACAAATAGTTTTTGGTATATTTTTTGGTAACTAATTAACATACTCCAATTGGAATGTATCGAAATATTGCTCTATTTTTTGTAACTTATTAACATATTTTGATTGCGATGATTTTAACTTATAATGTTTATTAACATGATTTTTATAATTTATTGAAATGAATAATCAATCAATAAAATGAAAAAAATAATATTTTTTAATCTTTTATAATATATTACTACATGTAAGTTGTAAAATAAACTAAAATAAAGAAAAAAAATAAGAAGGGTAATTCTATCATTTTACATTACTGAAATCAAATTCATCTGGCATGTCTGCGAACAAAACAGAATATGAAATTTGAATCCAATTCTATTTTCTACCAACCAAACATAATATGGAATTGGATTTTAATTCCATTTACTGCCAATTAAACAGAATATGAAATTTGATTCCAATTCCTACGGATTACAATTCCTTCACAGATTCTAATTCCCTCGTAAACATTCCAGCGAACCAAACGTCACTTGGTTTCCGCTACAGAAAAGAATTCAATATATGGCATCGTGATAGCTAGGTTAGAAGGAAGAGTACCATGAATATTGTTGTTTCCACCGACCGAAAAGAATCTGATATTGGAGAGATTGAACATTGAGACGGGAACATTCCCAGAAATTGCATTTGTTGCTACTGTGAAATATGAAAGATTTGTCAATCTTCCAAGAGCTTCTGGTAGAATCCCAGTTAATCCATTAGCCGCCAAATCAAGTACCTCCAGGGATGACAAGTTCCCCAAGGAAGGTGGGATAGTCCCTCTCAAACTGTTGTTTCTAAATCTCAAGAATTTCAGGTTTGTCAAGAAACCCAGAAAAGCAGGCATTTCTCCAGTTAGCTGATTACTCCTCATATCAACAACTGTAAGCTTAGAACAAAGAGATAAATTAGAAGGAATTTCACCGTTAATGGAGTTATTAGCCAGTCCTAGTGTTTCCAGTCTCCTTAAACGACCTACTTCTTGAGGAATATGGTTGAAGAAGTTGTTACCGTCAAGCTTCAACTCCCTGAGAAAACTCAAATTTCCAATGTATGGTGATAAAGATCCCGATAATTTTAGGGATTCCAGTTACAACTTGGTGACTCTCTGATGCATGAGACTGCATGTAACACCACGCCGTGACAGAAGTGACTCGAACTATTCCAGGACGCCATAATTCTTAGCTGATCACCGGTTATCTTGGCTTTGAACTGAAGTAAAGCTTGTTGATCAGTCTCATTTCCTCTGACTAAAGGGATTGTTGTTGTTAAACTAAGCAAGTTAAGACTCTGCAAGTTGAAACAAGAGAGAAGAATAACAACTTCAATAAAGTATTGTTCGAAACACTTTTAATCATTTGAAAATGAACACTCAAATATTTCTACATACGTCATGCTCGAACATAGAACCTCTAAGAATAATAATTATCTCTTTAATCATCAAGTTTGCGTGATTTGTTCTCCATATTAATCATTTCAATGGTTTTTATTGCAAAAAATCATTGTTTGACTCAAATTGAAGTTGAACTTGTAAGCTTTCATATATTCAGGATAGTTAATGCCACCTGTGAAGAGAAACCGAAGTTTCAATATCATCAATTATTTCCACGCCATTCAAATTGAGAAGATATCGGATTTTGCTGAAATAAATAATTAGTACATTTACTTATTTACTTATAACAACAAACTATTCACTTAAGATTATATAAAGACTGTATAAAGAAAAATATTAAAAAAATCTACTTAGAAAGCTCAAATAAAATATAAATACGAATAGATATGATCGTATTGACAAACGAACCACAAAAGAGATCAAGCTAGTTAAAGACCACTGACAAACTACAAACTAGAGCCAAGTGTCGTGAGAAAACTATCTACGAATGCAAATCACGTATCCAAATTTAATTCGATGGACCAAAGTAGGGAAGATCAACATGACAACAAATAAATATCATCTTGATCAATCATGACAATATGAAATCCAACCCCGAGAATGATAAACAAAAACAACGACCAAATGATCGAAAACATGCCAAAAGATAAAAAAAAAACGTGACAAATAAGCAGAAGAAACGTATCATAAGAAAGCGAAGGTAAACAAGAAAATATCAGCGACGGTGACAAACACCAAGGTTGGTACCGCCTGCTGCCAACCAAAGAAAGAAAAGGAGCAAGCGACTGAATTTTTTTTAGGGTTCAAGAAAAAATCTTTTAAGGTTTGGTGAGATATCCTTTGCATAATTTATAACAATTACAATGAATATATATGTATACTTGTAACAAAAATCAATCAATACGACCATATGATTATAATCCTAATCAATGATTACAATGTACAAATATAATTATCCAGCACTCCACACTATAAATCTTATAGTTTGTCATTAAACCGAACAACATATTTTAAAATTATATACTATTATCAAAAATAAAAAAGAAAGTATGTTTACAGAAAATTTCAGTGATAATTTTTTTAAAAAAAGGTTCAATTTTGATTTCAGTTCCACTCCAATTTTAATTTGACATAATTCCATTAGGATCAAAATTATAATCAACCCTGAAAAACTTAACAAATTGTTATTTACAATCCATGTATACTAATACAAGTATATGATCTTTTTATGAAGGTTGTAGCCGAGGGCTTAACATTTTGGTAAAGCTTGACGAAGGGGAACGTCGATTTCCGATCTTTACATCCATGATATTGGTAATGAGTCCCGGATCGGATATCTGCGAATCCCGAATATCGACCTCGTCGCACATCATTTTAATGGCCGTCGACATGTACGGTCGAAGCCCACATTTTTGTTGCACACAGATCAATCCTACTTTGAGGAACCGATCCACTTCTTGTTCCGAGAAGCTCCTCTTGTCCAACACCGGATCCACCAAGTGGACCAACTTGTTTGATTTGTACATCTCCCATGCCTTCATAAAAAAAACCAACTCATAAGATATTAAGTCTGTTAAGTAAGATTAGACATTCAAATTATAATATTTCGAATGAAAAATAAATAAATTAAAATACCGTCTTATAACGAATCTTCAAAATATTTTATATAAATTAATCAATTAATAAATTAGATATTAATAATAAATCTTTAATATCTATGAATTGTCAAAAACTACTTTATTGAGAAGAAAATTCAGTCAGCAACTATAAAATTTGACTGCCAAAGTTGGACGGTGGGCAGGTAAAGTTCGGTTGTATTGTTACATTAATGGAAATATGTTTTTTATGTTGTCGTCTCCTAAACAAAGATATAGGAAGTGAAAGGAAAAATAAGAAATGCATATACCTTTTGAACAAGAAAGAACTCGCCAACTTGGAGATCGAAATCGATGGCGGTTCGACCACTCACAATCTCGAGTAATAAAACTCCAAAGCTATAAACATCTGATTTTCGTGTTAAGTGTCCACTCACGGCATATTCCGGAGCAAGATAACCTCTTGAATACAAAAAAACAAAAAACAAATAATTAGATGATGATATAGGTCACCTAACCATTTTTTAAAAGATGAAATTTATAGACTTAAAGCTTGATTCCAAACATTTGTAATTCTTTTTTTATTATTATTTTGATTGTGATCTAAAAGAAAAAGAGATGAAGAAAAGGGATAGAAACTTACAATGTACCTGCAACTCCGGTACTAAGGTGAGTGACATTGTCGGAGAAGAGACGGGAGAGACCGAAATCGGAAAGTTTAGGGGTGAAATTTTGATCGAGAAGGATATTACTAAGCTTGATATCACGATGGACAATATGTGGCTTCACCTCCTCGTGGATGTAGGCAAGTGCCCGACCTATCCCTAGTGCTATTTCTTTCCTTACTTTCCAACTTAGCTTGGCCCTATTTTCCTCTCCTCCTGTTATACAACAAGTATCGAATATATATCATAAAATAGAAAATGTAAAATATTATATAAAAAATAGGGACGGAGTTATTCAAGATATAAGAGAGATTCCTACTCCCAAATTTTAGGTTTTAATATTGCAAGTTTAAATATTTATCATAAATATTATATTGAACGTTGGTACCCTTATATTTATGGTGCTTGAATTATAGACCTCAATGAATAACTAAAATTATTTTATCACTAAGGACGCTTTGATTCGTGCACTTTTTAAGTTACTATTAACTTTGAAGTATGGATGGGCATTTTTTACGAAACTAACACGTTACCCAATCTAATCTTATAGGGTTATTTTCTTAATTAAAAAAATCGGATTTAGATTTGATTAGATTTAAAAAAAAAAGTTTGTAAGGTTGGGTAAGTTCAAGTTTAGGGTTTATAAAAAATACTTGACCCGGACTTATAAGATCGAATATATATATATATATTTTTTTAAAAATTAGGTTTGTGTTAGGTTGGATTTTTATATGGTAAGATCAAGTCAGTTCGGGTTCGGGTTTGAGTCTAGAGTGAAAAATATACGATCCGAGAATAATTGTATAATTTGATTTTTATATATTTAGAGATAATTGTTATAATACCCCTTACTCTATGTTTTTTTTTCACTTAGTTTCCCATTTTACCTAATGAAAATGAGAGTCACATATATTTGTGTTGGATCGGATACAAATTTTTACTTTAAAAATTAGGTCAGATTAAGGGTGGGTGGAGTTTTTCTAAACTTGGGTTAAATTGAGTGACAAGTGAAAGAATATTATATTCTGGTCGAGTTTAGATGGGAGTCAAAATTCAACTCAACCTATATCTATTCCTACTTTAAAATTAGACGATTTAATCTTTTTCATTGTCTAATCTTAATTATCTGATAAACATATACATATATAAGAGAAGGAGAAGAATACCGAGTAAGGTTTGAGCTAGACTGTTGTTGTCCATGTAATCATAAACAAGAAGCTTAGAGGGTCCATCGATGCAGCCACCGTGGAGTTTAACAAGGTTTTGATGGGTGATGTTTGAAATGGAGGCTATTTCGGACATGAACTCCCTGTTGCCTTGCTTTGATTCAACTGATAAAGCTTTCACAGCTACCCTTCTTCCATCCTTCAGCCTTCCCTTTATGTTCCCAACCAAACACCATGTTAGTTCCCAGAAAATGTTTTTTCTTTTTTCCTTATTGGAAAACAAGAATAGACAAAATTTTGATGATGTCTCAAAGATTGAGCTAGGTTGGAGCCCACCACGGCGGCTCCCTAATAAGTTTTTCTTGCATTACTAAATGCATCGCATTTAACATGAGAATGACACATCTATGTATTTGATAAAAGTGATAAAAAAATTGAAAAAAATATTTTTATTTATTATTTGATAGAGTTAAAAAAAGAAAAAAATTAAATTAAATTTTAAAAAATATATATTTCAAAATTAACTATAGTCTCTTTTACACTTTCTTTCGTTATTTATCTCTAAATTGAAGTGTTTTTTTTCATACGTAATAATAAAATTGACCACCATTCTAATTTTGTTTCTCGTCAAATCTACTCAAAATTTATTTTCTTGCTATATTTTTGTTATATCTTCCTAATTTTCCATTCAAATAAAATTTAATGTTTTTTTTGATGGAGTGAAAAATGAAAGGATTGAATGAGAGAGATAAAAATAAAATAAAATAAAATAAAAAATTTAGCGTACTCAATAAAAAAAGTTAAAGAAATCATTTCTAACGTTATACGTAAAAATAAATCATTAGGATATAGAATGTAAAAGGAAGAGAAAATATGAGAGATGTAATTAGTTCATAATTATATTTTTTTTTCAATTCTATCTAACAATAAACTGAAACAAAATTATTTTTTTCTTTCAATTTTTCATCATTTCGGTTAAGTATGTTTATAAATGCTGTGTTAATTATTTTATTGATTTTATAGAACGGGTGTGCCAAAATTTAATAATGCTACTTTAAAATATTCATTAATGAAACTTATTGTGATTATTATAATTTGTAGCTATACAACTTTGCTATAAATGTTAACCCCCTAATCATAACATATAACATAAAGTCGATGCATGAACCTGAGTTTTCTAAATCATCATAAAAAATTAACAATAAGAGATTATATATACATATTTTTTAATTGGAGTAAAGTACAATATAGGTCATTAAACTATGTTCACATAATTAATTTGAACATAAATTTTTTAAAAATTATAAAATGATCATTAAATTTATCAAATTATTATAGAAGAGTTATTATGACGTTGTAATAAATATAAATTTTCGATAAATATAATAATCATTTTGTAACTTTTAAAAGTTAGTGACTAAAACGATCATTTGAATATAACTTAGTAACTTTTAGTGTATTTTACCCTTTTAATTATCGTGCATTGGTAGATATATTTGTATAACGAG